TGGGGAAAGCGGGTAAGAGGCACTTAGGCAGATGAGTGCAATGAGACTTACATTTCGAGAAGGCCAGCCTTTCAAACATACTTACTTTCTTTTTTTGTTGTTGTTGTTGAGAGGGAAGACAAAAAATGTTAAAAAAAATAATAATGAAATTTATTTCATTTCACTACTGTTATGCTTGGCTCTGTTGTCATCCAAACTCTAAAATAACGTAAGTATTTTCCTAAAAGTTTCAATAAACTTTTAAGTGTGTAACAACATCAAGTTATTCACAGAAAAATCTCACACCAGACACAAGATTTTCCATTAAAACCACAGCTTACATGATTTTATGACTGTAGTCAACAGTCCTCCTCCCACCAAAAAACAAGAAGCAGGGAGCACATTTTCCAAAGTTACTGTCCATAATCTCAAGTTGTAACTTTTTTAATATAACAACAAATTTGTAAATAACTGTAAGGTTTCCATGCTTGAGGGAGAGAAGCAGTGGCCCTGAAACCAGAGGCCCAGATAATCAAGCTAGAACACAGCCAACATCTGCAGCTTTTACACTCCCTGCCTCATATGCACACTGCACACGTAATTTGCACTTGTGACCATGGTGCTGCTTAGACAAACAGCAACATTTTTTATCTATTCTTTAATTAAAATACACACCACCTTCTTAAGCAAAGAGGAAAAACCCAAACAGGAATAGGATACTTGGGAAAGTTTCCCAGCAAGTAAAACTGTTTGATGAGTAAAAATATATGAGTGATTCAGATCCAGGACTGAGTTTCACATTCGTCATCCTGTTGAGCACTCACCTTGACCCTGCAAGGGACAGTACCATTTTAGAGATGAGGAAAACAAGGCTTTGTGGGGTTGGTTTGCCAGAGGTTAAATGGTGAATAAACCTAGCTCTCCGCACCCAATCCAGAGAGCAATGAGGTAAGAGGTTCCACAACTCCCTCCCTGCCTCCCCACTTCCTTCAGTCCCTCCCTCCACTTCACACTTCATGTTACTCAGCAGTGAGCAGCACAGGCAGATCCCACATACTGTGTACCACTACTCCCGTCCTCTGCCCAGAGGACCCCTGTCCACACTACTGCCCTGCCCAAATACCCCAGCCCTTCTTGAGCCTTCTTACCCTGGCATTCACAGCTCCTCCTCTGCTTGATTTTGCCCACCACCTGATACACATGCTCCACAGGAGCCACAAGAGCCCGACAAGCCTGAAACACTTTTGTTCGCAGTGCTTCTCATCCAACAAGGTCTTCCCTCCTGCTTCTCAAAATCAAAGTGAACAGTCTCCATATCACATGCCTGGACCCCACTGTGCACCTACAGAACCAAAACGCCCTGGGACCAGGCATGTGCTTTCTGAGGTCACTCCACTACCCACTTAGGAGGCACTGCCCTAAATCAAGGCCAGACTTCCCACTCACTAAACCCAATGCAAACCCATGCCATAATGGCCACTCCCATCTATGAAACCCAGAAGCATTACCATGCTGCTGTCAACTGATGCTAACACCTATTGTTATTTATAGTTTTCTATAAATGTTCTGTCTCCTAGATTGTATGCTTCGTGAGTGCAAGGATTAGTCTATTTCTTCATAGAGCATGACATTTTTAAACAAGCACAGAGATTTCCTTATCTTTCTCATAACCAGTTTGGAAGCAGAGCGGGAAAAATGGGAAGCCTCACGCAAGGCCACCCTTGATTCACTCTGAATTAAGGAATGCTCAGCAAAGCCCTTAGAAACCAAGGATATCACACTAAAAAGCCACTGCAGCTGGGGCTCTGCAGTGCATCAGGACACCATGGAGGACTCAGGCCACAGGCACAAGAACAGACACATACACAGGCAGTCAATCTTCCCATGCTAAGCACTTGAGAAAAGTCCAGGTAACATGGTTCTCAACATGGAGCAGACCACCCTCCTTAGAGAGGGCCTGGATAAGTACAGGTGGGTGGGGATGAACAGCCAAAACATTTTTACCACTCAGTGATAGATCAGAAGCAGAAAAACCAATTTTTTCACTAGAGGGAAAAAAATGCTATGACTAAGTGTAAAGCTTTAAATATGTTTATTGAGGACATTTCCAGTATTAACTCACATCACTTCACTGTCAGAAAAATTGATTTGTTTAACCTGAAAACAGTTCAAACATAATGCCAAAAAACTAGCCCCACCATACTACAAAATGCTTGCTGCAGAGAATGCCTTAATGATTTGAAATCTTTCTTTCTCTTATCCTTTTCTCCCGTTGGCTTAGTTGGTTTTTATACAGAGCCATAAACATGATCTTCCCACATTTTTCCCCACCAGATGGGAGTTTGTCATGCCACATGTCACCTAGCAACCTAGACACCACTCTACAGCTTCCCAGTACCCAATTCTTCACACAAAATTTATCTTGTTCTACTAAACAGTAAGGGGTAAGGAAGAGATAAAGAATAAAAGTTGAAACAAGTGTTCATATGTGTTGCTTCATAATTACAGTATTTTAAAGAGTTGGAGAAGTAGGAAGAAAGACTAAAGTTCAATTGTAACCATTACCTGATAATCTAGGAGGAAAAAATACAAACAGACCTAGAAGACACTCAGGTTCTTGAAACATTTGATAGTCAAGAGTCTTGCCATCCAATGACTGAACCAGGTATATACTGCAAAGCCCATCTTAAAATTCACCTACTGAACTGTGAGTTACACTTAAAGAGCATTTACATAATTCTGCAAACCCCTGAACGATTTCTGACTCCTCCCTCTCATTTTCTATGACTTCAGAGCTATCATCACCCTGAGAATAACCTTTCCTTTCTTCCCAATCTGGTGATATGCTTTCCTTCAAAACTCAGCTCCCTTCTCTTTGGGGTGCCTTTTAAGACTCCCTTAAGAAAAATGCACTTCCTTTTCCATGCTCCCAGGTCACTGTGAAACAACCACTAGTAACATTTTTTCAAAGGTCCAGATCTATCACTGAGGCTTCTCAACCCCGTTTACCCATCATCTGGAGGCCTTCTCTTCTAACCAGTGCACAACTTGCCAGTCTACGCCACTGGCTTCCTTCGCTTGGAGGGCCATGGAGCCTCTTGTCCTAGATTCTTACAGTCCAATTTCCACAAAGCAGTCAGTGGGTCCCCTAGATGTCCAGCACCCAGATCAGTACCTTGGACATAGCAAGTGCTTAAGAATTTCTGTGGAATGAACAAATGACTCAAACAGCTACATTTTTATCTCCCAAACAGACTATTCAACCAATGTGCATTGCGTGCAAAATGAAATATGACTAATTTTAAGCATGTAAATAACTAATGTAAGCCTAAAAATTCCAAACATGTAAGCAAGGAAATGTGGATCACCTCTTCCTACTTGGGAACCTAGGCACACTGCAAAGTATTTATTATCATATTCCTCTTTTCTTTCAGGATTTATTATCTTTGTTTCCAGGGAACATGTGCAACCTGATTACTGTTTTAGAACGTATAAATCATAAACTCTCATTCGCAAACAATCCTTCAAAAATTAAATGTAGGTGAAGAGGGTACCGTTACCCACCATCACCATCCCCCCGCCCCCGCAACGTTGGCACTGCAAGTTAAATATGTGCCTGCTTTCTGCTAATTTTTTTTTATTTTCAATAAAAGTTCAATCAACTGTAAGGTACATTTTAGAGCTGTTAAATAAAGTTAACATCTTCCATCATTGTGTCAGGTTCCTCAACTGTCCCCAACATTATCTTTACAAGGCCAAATTTATGCTATTATTCCAGAATATACTAAAAACAATAATATGTAAAAAGGGTTTTTTCCTTAACTTTAGAAAAAAATTGGGGGATGCCACCTGGCACACAATGTACACACTCAAGCTGACAAAGCCACGTTCCGCCTCACCGAATTTCCCAGAGCTCACAGGAACCAGGCAACTACACTATGGCGAGCAAATAGGAAATTTTAAAAGCGAATGTGCTTTCCACCAAACATTACTGCAAAGAAAATATCCTCAGGTGCTTGAGCGAAAACTTCGGAGGCTGGGCTGTTGTCAAACACAGACACAGCAGATAAAACAATTTAACAAAATGCCTTTTCACTTCTGACACATTGTACAGGAATGCAGTTAAGCGGAGACAATGTTATCACTCCACCAAAAAAAAAAAAAAAAGGAAAATCTACTCAACTCCGGAATCAGGCCGAGGCTCCGCAGCCTCCACACCATATGGAGCTAGTTCCAGATCGGTCCACGCTAGGGCCTTGGCAGGAAAACTTTAAATTCAGTGACTGATTTCAAGCTCGTGATTTGCAAAAGAGCCCTGCTCCAAAGCCTCTGCAACGCTGAGCCCCTGAGGGGAGCCGCGCTCGCGAGCTGCCGAAGCTTGCGTCCGTCTCCGGACCGCCTTCCCGATCGCCGGCCGGCGACCCCCACCCAGCAGCTCCCAACGCCGCAGACGATCGCGCGGGCGGGGAGGAAGGGCTCGTGGCTGAGGTCCTTCCCCGACGGAACCCGGGGGTGGAAGCAGCAGACACGCAGCCACTCTCCGGCGCGTGTGGAATGATTAAACTCCCCTCCCAACAAAAAAAGTTCCCTCTCCTAGCTTTGCCCGCGAGGCCTGGGAATGGGGAAAGGCCTGGGGCTGGATTTCAACCGCTGCAAGAGGCCGGGGAGAGGAGTCCGGGCCAGCTGCGCCCGCGCCGCGTGGGGTTCGGCTCCGCTCCTCGGGCCGATCGAGGGGCGCCTGTCGCCCCGCCGATTCCGCCGCAGAAGCTCCGAGGGAGAGGCGTTCGGCCCCGGGGCGCGGGGTTCCGCTTGGTCACCGGGGCTGTGCTCCAGCACCCGGCCAAGCGGAGAACTTTGCAGCCAGCAGCCCGGGGCGGGGGGCGCAACGAGGCCCGCGCGGCCACTGCACTTTCCCTTTCCCCGCCTCCCTCGTCTCCCTCCTCCCCTTTCCAGGAAGCGCCATATTGATCCCGGCGCCTTCCCCACCCCCTCCCCCTCCCCGCGCGCCCCCGGCCCCTCACCTTGGCGATGGCCTTCCGGTAGCGGGTCACTGCTTGCTGGATGAGGCTGAAAACTTTCATGTGGCCGTCTCCACACGGCACGACCACCCGGGTCCTGCCGAAACACACGGTCACTTTCATGCCGCCACCGCCGCCGGGGCCGGCCCGCGCCCCTCGCTGACGGCAGCCGAGCGGCCCGGGCCGGGTTCTAGAGGCTGGCGCGGCGACGCCGCTGACCGGCGGGCGGCTAGGGGCGCGGGCAGGCGACGCCAGGGAGCCGCTCGGCTCGCATGCCCGGCCCTGCCCCCTCACCTCCCGGTGCTCGCCTCGCCTCGCCTCGCCTCTCCCTCCGCGGCGCCCGCGGCTCCGGCCACCTGTTCGGCGTCTCGCGCGCTCGACAGCGGCGGCGGCCCGGGCGGTGCGGCGCTCGCTCTCCGGCGGCGGGGGAGGGGACGGCGGCGAGGGGAGGGAGGGAAGGAGGGACAGAGGGAAGGAGGGGAGGAGCGGAGGCGCACAACACCGCGCACGTGCGGCAGGAGGCGGTGGCTCCCCGCGCAGGGCGGAGCGCGCCCCCAGGACACCCGCCGCGTGGCTCGGCCTGCCCCTTTCCTGACCGGCCAGGCGGGCCCCGTGTTCTCCCTTAGCCCGTTGCTACCCCGGCGCTCGCCCATTCACACCCTCCTTGAAGACGCCCGCTCCGCTCCCCCCACTCTCTCCGGAGCACCCCCCCTCGTCCCTTTCTTTGTCACTTTTAATCCCCTTCCTTGGACTGGTAGGTTCGGGGTCACTTAGCTTCTAGAGATAGCTGTTTACTGTAGGCGCCAAGACTTTTGGAGAGGAGCGGTCACCGAGTCCCGGGGGAAGGGAGGGCTGGGGTGGGCGGTTCCAAACCCGCAGGGCCCGCAGTCTGGCAGGGTTTGACAGTGGCTCTTTCGCTGGGCTGCAAGGCCTGGCAGGCCTCATTACACGTTAAAAGCAAAATATTAATCGTCTGCTCTGAGAAGTGGCTGGTGACTCTCTGATTAGACCCGGCCTTCCTTCTGTGGCCACTTTTTATCTTCAAGTTTCCTGTGACCTCGTGCTGACCCACGCACTTCCACAGGTAGACCTTAAACATCAGCAATTCAGATTATTTTATATCTTAAAACTATACAACATAAGCAACCCTAACGCAAATATCTGACCGAGTATCAGAATGCCGCGGGTGAAGAGCGAAGGGACCTCCACGACGCGCCCGCGCTTACTGAGGCGTTGAACCCCGCCCTCCCCCACCCCCTGCCCCGCCCCGCACAAAAACACACAAAAGCGGCTCTGCAGTGAGTATGTGCTTGGGGAACCTGGGACATTTCAAAACGATGCAGACTAAGTCAAGAAAAGTGACTGACGTTCATCTCTGCCTTAGTTGTGAGTTGTGATTCCTTACTATCTGTAAGCTCTTGTATTTAAAGAATGGCAAGTGTCAGCAGAGTCACTGTTGGCCCATGTCTGTCCCAAAGGATAGTAAATTCATTTTTGCCAATTATTTCTAGAATATGTGAAAGCAATTAACAGCTCCTGTGAGCGCAAGCAGAATCTTAGATTTAGAGCAGGAAGAGCTGTTGAGCATACATCCATTCCACTCCCATTTTAAAATAAGAAAACAAGACAAAGAGATCCATCTGCTCCCCAGAATCCCTGTGTCTTCCCTCCTAACCAGGAACCGTGCAAGTTATCATATGAAATATTGTACTTCTCTGATCTACTCACTCACCTGTCCTAGCAAACCAGTACAGTAAGTAGGCACTGTGTGTTACCATCTCTATTTTACCCCAGAATATTGATGGAATGGTGAAGACACTTGCCCAAGACCACAGAGAGAGCTTGAGGCAGAACCAGAAGTAGAATCCAGGTTTCCTTCCACACTTTTATGGGAAAGGCTCATCATACTTCTATGTTGCTGCAATGTTCAACCTTTCTACCCAACGATTAAGTTTGTGACAACTATGACAACTCCTGTTCAGGTCTTCTTGTTTCTTATGTTAATACTTGGATTCAAAACAGTTGCTGGTAATTATAGATGTTTCTGTTTTAATGCATTGGGAGGAAGGAGTATACTAGTTGAAAGTGGGGCTTTCTCAAAAAAAAAAAATCTGATTAAAAGACAACTTCAGGAATAGCCAGGATACATCAGAAATTACACGGATCTAAGTTCAGATCCTGATTCTACCATTGACTAGTGCCTTAGACAGAGCTTTCAATCTCACCCCAACCTCAGTTTTGGCAGCTTAAAAGTGGAGCTGAAGATCTCTATCTCATAAAGTATGAGGATTAAGTAAAATAATGTTATTAAGACACTTAGTACATGTAGAAGAGTTAGTCCAGTTACCATAATGTAGGTGAAGGATAACAAACGTAGGACAGGAAGGTAAATCATGTTGGTGAAAGAAAACGGGGAGTAGGAATCAAGACTCAGAGAAATGAATGGACTGGTAAGTAACTGACCAGAGCTCATGACTCTCAGTCCAGCACTAAATTCACTTCAATTAGATTCCAAATGCAGTTAAACCTTCCACATGGGAAGCACTAGCCAAGTGTTACAGAATTATAAAAGTGAGTAAGAAAGACAATACAGAAGTTAGAATAAGATAGCTTCAATAACTGTAATTCAAGACATTAAATGTTAAGTTCCAGAAAAATGTTAATGGCACTTCTGGGGAGGAAGGCCTGCCTTCATAGAAAAGTATGTACAGACTTCTGGTCAAGATGGAGACGAAGGTAAACACAGCCTGCCTCCTGCACAACCACATCAAAATTACAACTAAACTACAGAACTATCAGAAATCCAGTTGAATGGAAGTCCAGCAACTATGAAACTAAATAAACTGCAGCCATCCAGACTGGCAGAAGATGTCAACACACAGAATGGGCTGGTCCCACACCCACATTTGATGGATAAAAATTTGGGAGTGAGGGATCCCAGCCCCATACCAGGACCTCCAGCCCAGGGTTCCAGTGCCAGGAAGACAAACCCCCATAACTTCTGTCTGTAAATATCAGTAGGATTTGAGTCAGTGAAAGGAATTACTGGAACCCTAAGCAATTCCTCTTAAAGGACCTGCATATGGACTTACTCAGACTCATTTCCTCTGAGCTCCGGCAGCAGGGCAGCAACTTGAAGGGCACTGTAGACATATGGGTAGGAACTGAAGTGGTTGGCATCAGGGCAAGAGCTAGGGAATAGCTTTCTATCAGACAGAAAGGCAAGCAGAGGCCATTGTTCCTTTCCTGAGCCCTCCAGATACAGACCCACAGAGCCACTGCACTAGCAGCAGGGGGCCATATCTGAGCCTCCATCAACCTGGCTCATAGGATTTGCTCCACCCTGGAGAATCCCTGAGGCTCTGCCCCTCCCAATTCACAGCCCACCCAAGTTGTTAACAGTGGCTTTCCATATGAATGGCTGGTCTCAGCTCAGGCTTCACAGCTTCCTAAATCCTCTCAAACAAGCAACAACCAGCCTCAGTGAGCTCCCAGCCCCTGTACCTCTGGCTAAGCACTGTCAGTAGCAGCAGCCAGCTTTAGATCACAGTTTGGCTGCACCTGAGAACCTCCAAGCCCAGCACAAGTAGTAGCCATCAGCAGAGTGCTTGTAGCTCCTGCTGAGTGGCCTCAGGCAAAACACAGGTGGGGGCAGACCCTGGCCTGCACCACCTGGGAAACCCCAGAGCCTGTGCACCCAGTGGACAGCTACCAACCATGTTGGAGAACAAACACCCTGCCCCTGCACAGCTGATCCTTTATGGAAGGTGGAGGTTGGTGGTCAGTGGTCACAGCCAGTCCTTGCAGCTGACTGGCCTGGGTAAATCCCTCCCATTGACTTTCCAACAGCAATCAAAGCTTAACTACAAGAAGAGGGCGTACTGCAAGGCTCAGCCCACATGGAGGGTACACCACCAGTACTCAGTTTGAGTGATGGGGGTGGCTGTGCCACTGGACCCTACAGGACACCTACTATGTTAGGCCACACTACCAAGACAGGGAATCATAGCCACTCTACCTAGTACATGGAAACAGACACAGGGAAGCTGCCAAAATGAGGAGACAAAGAGACATGGCCCAAATGAAAGAATAGATCAAAACTCCAGGAAAAGAACTAAACAAAATGGAGATAAGCAATTTATCAGATGCACAATTCAAAACACTGGTTATAAGAATGCTCAAGGAACTTAGTACCTCAGCACCATAAAAAAAAAGAGAGAGACCCAGTCGGAAACAAAGGACACACTAATTGAAATGAACAATTTACAGAGAATCAACAGTAGAATAGATGAAGCTGAGAATCAAAGCAATGACATGGAACATAAGGAAACAAGAAACAACCAATCAGAACAACATGAAGAAAAAAGAATCCAAAAAAACTAGGATAGTATAGGGAGCCTCCAGGACAATTTCAAGCACACCAACATTTGTATCATCGGGGTGCCAGAAGGAGAAGACAAAGAGTAAGAAATTGAAAATCTACCTGAAAAAATAATAAACGAAAACTTCCTGAATTTGCTGAAGGCAATAGACATGTCCAGGAAGTACAAAGAGTCCCAAACAAGAAGGATGCAAAGATGACCACTCCAATACACATCATAATTAAAATGCCAATGGTTAAAGATAGAGAGAATCTTAAGAACATCAAGAGAAAAGCAGTTAGTTACCTACAGGGGAGCTCCCATAAGACTGTCTCCTGATTTCCCAAGAGAAACTTTGCAGGCTAGAAGGGACTGGCAAGAAATATTCAAAGTAATGAAAAGTAGGGACCTAGAGCCAAATTTGCTCTACCCAGCAAAGCTGTCATTTGGAATCAAAGGGCAGATAATGAGCTTCCCAGACAAGGAAAAAATAAAGGAGTTCATCACCACCAAACCATTATTATATGAAATATTAAAGGAACTTTTTTAAGAAGAAGAAGATCAAAACTATGAACAATAAAATGGCAGTAAACACATACCTATCAACAACTGAATATAAAACACTAAGCAAACAAGAGGAACAGAGACAGAAGCATGGATATGGTGACCATTTTCATGGTTGCCAGATGAGAGAGGGAATGGATAAAGAGCTGAGGGGTTTAAGAAGTAGAAATTGATATTCACAGAATAGCCTTGGGGATGTAAAGTACAGTACAGGACATGGAGTAGCCAAGGAGCTTATATGTATGACCCAAGGACATGAACAAAGGGGTCAGATTGCCTTAAGGAGTGGGGTGCGGGGTGGGGAAGGCAAAGTGGGAAAAATAGGGACAACATTAACAGCATAATCAATAAAATATAATTAGAAAGAAAAAAATAAAGACTAAAATCTTGAAAAAATATATATGTGCCACTTATTTATATAAATTCCTTCCACTATTCAATAGTTAGTAAAGATTTAGATAATTTTTTAAAAATATGATCCAGGGGAATAATAATTAAAATATCCAGC